CCTTCCTGTATACAGTCGATGCACAAAATTGCATTGTGATCTGTACACTTAAGATGGGACAGGAGAGACTCGGGTGGTCAAATCCACACAGACATGAAATGGAATGGGGTTGGCTGGCAGCAAAAAGGAGAGGTATGTGGGGGACTGTTGTTTAAAGGGGTTAGAGATGAAAGGACTTGAGAGATGCATGGTGGTGATCATATTCCCACAAGAATGGGACTGTATTTAATGTCGCTGGACAGCACAATTAAAGATGCTTAGGATGGCAACTTTCATGTGATGTGTATTTTATCACAATTGAAAATAATAAAAACAGGAGAGTCAGGTGATCACAAGAGAAAGGAAAGAAAAAAAAAATCCTGCTTTGCCAAGAAGAACAAATACTTGGCTCTATTATTTAAAAGTCTTCATAGTAGGGGTGCCCGGGTGGCTCAGTCGGTTAAGCAACCGACTCTTGGTTTCAGCTCAGGTCATGATCTCACGGTTCGTGGGTTTGGGCCCCGAATTGGGCTCTGTGCTGACAGCGTGGAACCTGCTTGGGTCTCTCTGTCTCTCTGTCTCTCTGTCTCTCTCTCTCTCTCACATACACACACACACACACACACACACACACACACACAACTTTGTCTCTCTCTCAAATAAATAACTTAAAAAAATATTTAATAAAAAAAATAAAAAATAAAAGTCTTTGTAGCAAGACTGGAGGGCCTGACTGGGCCATGCCATCTCTTAAACACCGCAGTGGCTCACTACTGCCCACAGCTAATGTCTAAGCTCCTGCCTTTAGCAGAGAAGGTCCTGTGTTAAATGGCCCTAGAGTACCCACGGGACAGGAAGAAAAGATTCTAGTCTCCTCAGTCCTGAGGAGAAAAGCCTCCCCACACAGCCCAGAGCAGGGTGAGAGGAAGGAAAACAGTTGCTGCGGAAGGGGAGAGGGTGGGGATAAAGAACAGAGCAGAAAGGGGAAGCGAAAAGAAGAGCCTGCTTGGGGCTCCAGAGAGGAGTCAGGGGTGTGGCAGCTTTGAGGTGGGAGCCACTGAGAACACATTTGGGAGATCAAACACAGAGCCCACCATGGGAGCGAGGCCAGCATCGAGAGAACCAGGGAGAAGGCCGGGAGAAGTTTTCCTTGGTGTTCTGCAGGGCCCTCTGGTGCGTCAGGAGAGACCCCGGCAAATGTTACAACAAATTTTCAATTAGTTGGGATGTGGAACTCTTGCTTTGTCGAAGTGTCATCATGCCAAGATAGGGCCACGTGGGGGTGGGATTGTAAGTGCGGCCTCATCCCCTGGGGACACTGATGTGTGCATTCCCCCCTGGCACAGGCAGCGTGCCATTTCTCCCAGCTCTTGTTCTGGCTGTTCCTGCCCATGACACACACACCCCTCACCCCCTTTGGCTGGGCTCAGCCCAGACCTGACCTCCTGCAAAGCCTGCCCGGGTGTGGTTCCCCCTCCCCATGCCCCTCAGTACTCTGTTCCACTCTCTACCATTGTTTCTGCCAAAAGGTTTTCCAAGAGTTATTTGCAGAACGTCCATCTGGGGTCTGCCTCCTCCACGAGGCTTTAAACACTTGGAAGGCAAATCAATGAATCATCCTTATTCCCCCAGCCATGAGCACAGCAACAAATAGCTAGCCTACTGTGTGGTCTGGGGGGGAAGTCACTTTATTTTTTATGGCCCTGGTCTTCTTTCCCTACAAGAGGGTTCAGGGAATCTGGTTGCTGACAGGAGCACTTGGGAAGATGGATAAGAGAAGGCTCTGCCAATGATTTGGGAGGGTCCTTGGGACCCTTTCTCAGCTGCAGTATGATTTCATTAAAGATTTTTATTCCTTGTTCCCCAAAGGGGACACCCTATCTTTCCATTAGGAGTTGCGGGAACCACAAGCCCCTTCCAGAAACAGGACAGCCTACAAGAAAGACCAGATGGGCCCTGTGAGGACAGGGCCAACTTGGCAGGGAGCACCTGCATCCTGGTGGCCGTGCCTCCATCCTAAGGGATGGGTGACATACACTAAGGCCCCACAGTCAGTCACCAAAGCTCCTAGAAGCTGGGCCCCTGCCAGGAGTCCAGCATCTTTCCCACCAAGATATCCTGAGAGCTTAACGCAGTCTCTAGTTTCCAACTCAGAGCTGGGGTGGGGGGAGCACTAAGGAATAAGCCTTTGGGGAGCAGAGCTGGCCTGGGTACCAAGGGAAGTGGGCCACTGATGGCCTCAGATCACTGCTCCGAGCACTCCCCAGCTATCAGTGCCCAGAAGAAAGGAGGTGCCACCTAGGTCCTATTGTCCAGAATCACAGCAGTCCCCTCCTCAAATTATGGGGACCTTATCTTACTTGAAGAGGCTCTTGCACACCAAATCTGGGAGGGAGCTCGGTATGTAATAAAATAAGTTCTATTATAAGAGATATGGTTTTTAGAATAAGGGAAGGGATTTTTCTTCTTCATCCCTGGGCTGGGATGTCTCCCTCTAAGAGAAGAGAGATTGAAACCACAATTACATCTGGGACCATTGGAAAAACAGCACCTGGTCAGGCTAGAAAAGAAAAGACTCTGAAGACTTCTTATTTTAAACAGGGAAGAGACATGTTCTAAGTAGCCTTGGGGGGGTAGAATCCAGACCAAAGAGTAAAAGTTACAAGGAAAGAGATGTCAACTCAATGTACGAAAGAATTCATGATGGCCTCAGCTATGGAAGGGGGACCAGCCCATCACTGGAGGTGTCCCAACCAGTGGTAGGAGGTGCTGCCTCCAGCCAAGAATGCTGTCAGAGGTGTCTCAGCAGCCGACGGTGGCAGTGCTAAGAGGTCTTCATGGTGACTGCCACATGGGTGCCACATCCCAGAACGTCTCTATCCATGCCCACTTTGGTCCCAAAGTGTGTCACTGTTAGAAGATATTCTCTCTCTGAAGCTGCCCACATTACAGACTCAAAAACTGAGGTGACAACATTTTCATGACTGGGGAGGGTAACTCAATTGGGATAAATGGGCAGCCGTCTCTTACCTAAGAAGGGACATTTAAATTACATAAGTCCCATAGCAGTCTCCCTTTCTGAAACCTGGGCAAATATTGACCTAGTTTCAGATTTCATCAGTGTTGCTTCTAAAAACTTTTCTGGGGGCACCTGCGTGGCTCAGCTGATTAAGCATCTGACTTTGGCTCAGGTGATGATCTCACAGTTCATGAGTTTAAGCCCCGCATCTGGCTCTGTGCTGATGGCTCAGAGCCTGGAGCCTGCTTCTGATTGTGTCTCCCTCTCTCTCTGCCCCTACCCTACTTGAGCACTTGCTCTCTCTCTCTCGCTCTCTCTCTCTCTCAAAAATAAATAAACATTTCAAAATTAAAAAATAAAAACTTTTCTGGATAATCCCATACCTTGCAGTAGACCTAAAGTTTCAATTATATTGGAAACCAGCATGGAGGTTTGGACCCTACGACAGAATCAGAGTGTTTAGAATTTTAAGGGAACTGAAGAGTTTACCCTACTCTCACCTGGCTTGCCAAAAGTCATGATGCCAGAACAGAAATACTACAGATGATAATATTTTTCATTAATAGCAAGTTTAATTTTAAAGCCCTGGGACACATAATCTGATAATTTTTCTAGAGTCAACATTTATTCCATACCTACTCTATTCTGAGCAATGTTGTAGGCACTTTTCATCCAATTAATCTTCTACAATTCTTCAAGATGACATGATCTCCATTTTTATTGTGGGAAATGTAGCTCAGAGAGGTTAAGCGACTTGAGCAAAATCAGCCAGCAATCAGGAGGCAGAGCTTGGATGTGAATCCAGATCTGACCAAGCCCACTGCTACTAAGAGAAACTCTGATTATAAATTGCAAGACTGCTAATGAGCAGTGTTTTAAAGAGGAAAAATTGCATTTTAATATTAGTAGAAGCTTATAAGACTATGGATACAAGATTTCCAATATATCAGAGATCAGATCCTGCTCAAATACATGCTAAAACATCTCTGTACAGTCTCCAACTTCAATGTGAAAAGGGATTCCAACAAAAATTTAAATTCTAAGATTTCACATGGGTTTATTTCATATCTCGCCTCAGCTCTGAAACTTAAAGCTTTGAGATGCCTACATTAAAGACAGCAGTGTTGGACCTGTGCAGGACAAAGTCAGCAAGTTCAGGAACTGTGAAAACGTACTTACTAGTGTCACAGGCCTCTCGAGGATTCAAATGAATTGTGAGAATACTTTTCCACCCCCAGAGAAGTACATTCATACAACATTTTGCCCTCACCTTCATGTTCCTCAAATTAAGAACTCCTGACCCATCTCCTTTTATAGATGGGGAAACTGAGGCTAAATGACTTGCCTGAGATCACACGGCAGAGTCAGGACCTGAACCCTACCTTCCCAACCCCCAATCTGATACTCTACCACACTGTTCCTTCCAGATCAGGAGCAAAAACCTCTTATTTTTAAAACACACCACATTTCTTCCTAAAATGCCATTTCCTTCTTCATCTATTTAAATAGTCCTTAGATTGCATTGTGTTTCTGTCCCAGGAATGACAGCCTTGGGGTCACGAGGACTGTGTTCCTTCAGCAGTAATGAATAAGCAGCTCTTTGCTAGAGGAAGATCACAAGTAAAGACAATCCATGACATTTCTTTAAAATTAACTTCATCTCAGAACGGAGCCCAAGTGAGGTATTCTGGCTTACATGTAGCTGGGGGCGGGGGTGGGGGGCCTGTCAGCCAGAGAAAGGAAGATTGAAGAACATGAGACTTGGACCGCGATCAGGGAGAAGAGTTCTCCTGGTTGTTACCATCCTCCCCCACTGTCCAGAGAGAGGCACATAATGGAAGAACAGCCAACAGGCAAATAAGCTTTACAAGCAAAAGGAAGGAAGGAAGGATGCCCTCAGCAACACAGACCCAGAACCCGACACAGCACGGAGGCCAGAGGGAAAGTTTTGGTCAGCGCTGGCCACAGAAGTTGGCGCCCCAGGTCTCCCGGCTGTACTTACTGTCGTCCTCACTCAGATCCCTGTCCATGGTGCAGATGTCCAGCCAAGGAGGTGTCTGCCCTCCCAGTGGGCTCAGGCCGCTGGGATCTGAGGGACCACCCTCGGGCCCTCCCAGAATGCCGGGCCCATTGTTACCCGATTTGAATACAACAGAGGGAAACATCTCAGGGAAGCACAGTGTCCCTCAGAGCTGCTGCTCTGGACCCAATCTGCAGGGGTCCTTGCAGCTCCTACTCACAAGAACTTCTACTTGCCAGGCTCTTATGCAGTGCCTCTAGCCACTGGTGCCCATTTTTCTGAGCTGGGATTCAAACCCTCATCTGTGTGACTCTCAAGTCGGAGCTCTTGACCACTCTGCTAGCTTACTCATGTGTTGGAGGCAGGCTTCTAAGTGTCGTGGGGTGACAGGGGAAGGGATACAGAGAAATGTAAGAGCACACAGAGGTTACCTCCCCTAGGGGGAGAGAAGATACAGGTGGGGTCTCTGAAGTCTCCAGCTCTGACCTCCTCCTCTCACTGGGGAAGCAGTGAGGCTCGGATCATGAGGTGGAGCCATGCAGTACATAGCAAACAGAGCCAGCTTCCAACCCAGGCTGCATGGCCAAAGCTCTCACCACACCAGCCTAGCCCCCTGTGAAGTATCTGTGGGTTTTTCAAAGTCTCTTCCAGAGCCTTTTGCACTGGAGTTTGAAACCGCTTCAACCCAATGCTTAGAGGATCACTCCTCTCTTCTGGATGAGTCTAAACAATGAACACCTAGACTGGGTCTCCTGGAGGTGGAAGCAGACAGCTGTAAGCTGGAGCCACCTGCCCCGCATCCTTGGCAATGACCCCCCACACCTCTGGCCAGGGAAGCCTTGCTCCGTAGGGCAAAGCAAGCACCCCATACCCCGCTTGCCCAGGCCAGCAACGGCTGTGGGGTTGTACCATGATTCTCCTCAGTGAAGACTGACTACTGCATTCACCAAGGGATGCATTGTCACCAACTTGTCAGCAGCCTGTCTTGGATGGCCACAGTGTACACACTGATGGCTTAAAGGGACCCCACAAAATACCTTTGGTCTCTCTCTGTGCCTCTTTCACCCTCATCACGCACTGCCTACCCCCAACAGAATGCTAGTGGCAGTAATAAAAGTAAAGAAGCAGTAGCAACAACTTGGCTAATGCTTCTTAAACACAGGCAGATGACTCAAATAGGTTTTTATGGTTGGCAGGGGCACTGAATTTCTTAAATTTGAGAGTTATGTAAGTTTTTTTTTTT